ATTCAAAGGATTTTGGGGCACTGAGCACCTAGCAGAATTGGGGACATATTAAAAGGCCAGAGTTTCTGCTTTACCTACTGCTTCACACACATCGTATCAGAGAGCACAAAGGAGCATAGCAGGGGACAGCCAAGACCATGTGCTTTCCAGGAACACTAACTCCAGGTGAAGGGAGTTAAAGAACAGCCGGAACAACAATTAAGAGGCTGAATTACCACTAAAAGAGCAATACTTACAGCTTGGCTTTGCGAAGGGGAATATTACCACAAACCTCTCTACAAGGATCTGAAGGTGGAGCAGCATGCAGAGTGAGAGGAACTGTTTAGGATTCAACTATGGGTGTCAGAAGGGGATAAAAGGATGAAATTAAACAAAGGCACCTTTAGGGGGAGGGGCTGAGGAGCCCCTTCCCTCTGCTGAGGCCCATTAAACTATCAGTTTTTCCAGGGAGGTGGTGGCAGCTCCTTCAACTGAATCATGTGGAGCAAGAGTGAACAAGATACTAAAACATATACTGCAGAGAGCAATCCTGCACACGGATCTAATTGGTCTTTTCTGTCTTCCACTGGGTTGGAAATACATAATGGGCTACACAAATTTGCTATAGCCCAGTGCAGGGATGTTATATTTAGTTTAATCAACGAATCGACCAGTCGATGGAATTTCCATTGACTAGCCAATAAGCGGGGAAGCCACAGCGGGGTTAGGTAACTCCGGCAGGCTCTTGATACTTTTAAAAGGCTGAAGCGCAGCAGGGGGGACCCAACGCAAGCCAGGACAGCTGATTCCTGGCTCGCGCTGGATCCTCCCCTCTGCGCTTCTGCTTTTTAAATGTATTAAGAGCCTGTTGGCTCTTAATACATTTAAAAAGCAGAGGCACAGAGGGGAGGATCCAGCGCGAGCCAGGAATCAGCTGTCCTGGCTTGCGTTGGGTCCCCCCTGCTGCGCTTCACCCCCTGCTTTCCCTGCCCCCCGTGGAGACGGTGCTGCGGGGAACTGGCTTTTAAGCTAGCTCCCCCCACTTGCTACCTCTGATAGATGCAGTGGGGGGCGGAGGGGAGAAGCAACTAGTTGAGGGACCAGTTGACTATCCGATAAGCATAAGCTGTCGCTTACATCCCTAGCCTGGTGAACTCAGATCCCCTGCATGGTTTTGCTGTCAAATGGGAGACCTAAAGCACAGCATGAAAGAAGTGGAGTTTGCGAGTCCCTATTCTACAGTGGAAAGTGCAGCCAAGGTCACAGCCAGTTTTGTTAGCAATACCCCAGGTTACCTTCCAAGATCTGGTGGACTCGGATATCTCTCATGAACTGCTGCACAGCATAATCCTTCAGGTACCCATAGCCCCCATGCATCTGCAGGGCCTGGTTGCATATCTGAGGAGAAGACAGCATGCTGGTCAGACACAGAGTGAAGTGACTTGCCCAAGGTCACACTGCAAGTAAGTGGCAGAGCTAGGACTTAGACCCTAGGGATCTGGACTAAGTCTATGCTCTAACCATAAAACCACATTCAGGCTCAGAAATGGAATTGGAACCCTGGAGCTCTTCTGTTCTAACCACTATCTGCCATATTTCTAGACATGCCATTTTAAACGAAAGGTGTCAGCTTAAAAGGAATGCTGTCGTGTACAAACTCATAAGGGTGCATTTGAATTCCCCTCAACCAAGACGGTTTCTGCTGCATTTCTGAGTCTAGATACAAAATTAAAATGCAAAACCACCATCTAGTGGCCAGCTAGGAGAATAGCTCTCTATTAAAAATGGTACCAAGCCTACATAGAATTAATACTGGGTGTGAGATGCACCACAATGGCAACATACATCCAGGGAACGAATGACAGGATAATACAGTGGTAATTCCAAAATATGACTAAGCCAAGACAATTCCTAGCTGAGGTTTGTTTTTGTTTAATGAACTGGTCTTCTGTAATTGCATTAGAGTACCCCAGCCACTCCCAATGGCACCTGCTAACCAGGAATTAATAGCACGTAGTGGACCCCGTGGCTGGCACACAGTACCTCAGGAGCTGAAATCACCCACATGAAATGTTTTACTCTGCTCTGCCGGAGCCCCAGGCTCCAAGACGCAGCAATGGCATTGCTGCATAGGAAGACTGCCCAGGGAGGACAGTGGCCTACAGGGAGTTGAGACTGCAGCCCCCATTTGTGCCAAAATTGTGGCCCACGAAAGGAGCCCCACAACTAGGTTTTTGGCCCATCAAACA